TGGGTTGTTAAACGAAGATTTAAAACAGGCAAGACGTTGGAGCAAGTCATAACCGGACGGCGCGCAATTAGTTTCATACTTTGGAGCTGCGCAGCAAAGGCTCTGTCTCCTCGCTGCTTTAACTTTGATTTAGGGACGACCAGAAGGAGTCTGTCAGCCGACCTCAGTGACCGTGTGGGTGTGTATGGTTTTAAAAGATCTGCCAGGTACAGTGGGGATAAACCGTTTAGGGCTTTGTATGCGAACAGTAACATTTAAAATTGTATTCTAAAATGGACTGGTAGCCAATGTAACGAGGCGAGTACAGGCGTAATATGTTCACGCCTGCCTGTCCTTGTAAGGAGGCGCGCAGCAGCATTCTGGACCAGCTGTAGGCGAGACAGGGAAGCCTTGGTTACTCCAATATACAGAGCATTGCAGTAATCCAGTTTAGTGGATATAAAACAATGTATTACTTTCTCAAAGTCATTAAAAGAAAAGAAAGGCTTGAGCTAAAATTCTTAGCTGTAAAAAGCTGGATTGATCTGTTTGTCTAGTTTAAAATCACGATCAATCCGTACACCCAGATTTGTTACAATGGGTTTCACATATGGGACAAGAGACTCCAGCACAGGCGGGGCATTGGGACCCCCACTGGGTCCAAACATTATTACCTCGGTCTTTTTTTCATTGAATTTTTAAAAAGTTCAAGGCCATCCAGGCTCTGATGTCCTGCAGACAGTCAGACAGGCTTTGCAGAGGGTTTGGGTCATTTATTTTAGGGGCATGTAGATTTGCGAGTCATCTGCATAAAAAATGAAATGAAACGCCATATTTTGTAATGATGGCGCCCAGGGGGAGCAGGTACAGGGAAAATAAAATCGGCCCAAGAATGGAGCCTTGGGGTACCCCGTACGGGAGAGGAGCAGAGGAGGAAGTCAAATCATTCAAACTTCTTTCAGACAGATACGACTTAAACCTGTCTAGAGCAGTACCACTGATTCCCACAGAATGCTGCAGGCGAGAAATGAGAATGCTGGGATCTACAGTATCGAAGGCAGCTGTCAGGTCTAAAGTATAAGAACTGTTCCCAGAGTCAGAAGCTAAACACAGGTCATTAAACACTTTTAAAAGTGTTTTTTTTTTCAGTGCTGTGGAGGGGTTTAAACTCAGACTGGAATGCCTCAAAAATGCCATGCACATTTAAGAAAGACTGCAACTGCTTCAGTACCACTTTCTCTAAGATTTTGGACATAAAAGGAAGTTTAGAGATAGGTCGAAAATTGTCAAAAACAGAGGTGGTTTTATTTTTTTATCAAAGGCTGGACCACAGCATGTTTTAGGCACTTTGGTACTATTCCTGTAGTCAGGCTGCTGTTAATTATGTTAAGAACGTTAAGTCCAACAATGTCCCAGATTTCTTAAAAAAAATCGCGCAGGGACAACATCGCTTGGAGAACCCGAGGGTTTCAATTGAGCAACAATTTCCATCAGAGCAGGAAGTGACACAAGCTCAAACTGGTCAGCTGAGCAAGTGTCCATGACAGATGGATCATGAGAAGGAAGTGTTTGCTCTGATGGCCTTGTCAACAAATATCTGTAGAAACGCCTCACAGGTTTCAGTGGAGGTTACTAAGTTGATGGATTGGGGGACATTTAGTTTATAGTGCTAAAAAGAAGTGGCGTTGCACATGAATGTCAAATCTTACTTTGAATGAAAATCCTATTTGTCAAGTCAAAAAACATGTTTCAGTAACCCTAACCATACTCTGACTGATTACAATCTATTTCATTTCTACTTCATCACAAAGGGCTTGTCGTACTGGTCTGCATTTTGATTTGTCTCTCCTCTTCCCCAGATGTCACCGATGAGATGTTGGCCTTCTTCTTGACGCTGTTTCAAGCGTTGCGAGTCCAGATGGGAGTAGCGTTCACCGGACAGATCATTCAAACTTTCCTCGGCATGTTCACCAGGTAAGAAAAACGATTCCTTATAGAAGGCACAGTATCACACACTGTTTAAATGGATGGATGTTTACATTTACAAGTATAAGAAACGGAATACCCTGATACATCTCTTAACGCTAACTCGTGATGTCACTTGTCTGTGCTGCAGGGAGCAGCTGGCAGCCAGTATTCTGCAGGAGGGCAGTGCGGGCTGCAGGGTGGTGCAGAAGTTCCTGAAGATCCTGCAGGTGGTGGTGCAAGAGCCGGGTCAAGCTTTCAAGCCTTTCCTACCCAGCATCCTCTCTCTGTGCATGGAGCAGGTGTACCCGGTCGTCGCAGAGGTCAGTTGGCGCTCTCCTATCTTGAGTTTTATTTGGTGTTTGTTTCTGTTTGCTTTTGGATTGATAAGCATTCTAAAGAGCACATTTTAATCTAATCAAACAAGTACACACCCAAGGTAAAACAATAGATAAGTAGCAGCATTATATACAGGACTGTCTCAGAAAATTAGAATATTGTGATAAAGTTCTTTATTTTCTGTAATGCAATTTAAAAAAACACAAATGTCATACATTCTGGATTCATTACAAATCAACTTAATCAGCAATATTAAAATAATAAAAGGCTTGCAATATTTCAGTTGATTTGTAATGAATCCAGAATGTATGACATTTGTGTTTTTTTAAATTGCATTACAGAAAATAAAGAACTTTATCACAATATTCTAATTTTCTGAGANCCCCATTCCAAAATAATTGAATAGCCCTGGACTACAGACTAGATTTCATTGCGAAACAATAAATATAAAAAACATATATAGCATTTCCATCGAAGCAGCTCGCAAAACATCCAGTAGCTGTGATTGTCAGTAGATTTACAAGTCTTGACTAAACTGACTGACACTTTCACTAGGACAAACTGCAGAATGCTAAAGGAAAATAAACATCGCTCAATGACACGCTCCACCCCTTAAAACAAAGATACTGACATCAAAGTTCTACTTACTCTGTGATACAACTTGTGCTTGCTGTTGAGCGACTCTAAATATAAGAGATTCTGCTTGAAGATGTGGATGTCCGGCTGCAGGAAAGACTGTCCAAAAGCCTGGAGAAGACATCAGAGTAACAATAAGAGGAGATAGATTTGACATACATTTGAACTGTAGATGAATTAACTACTTTAATAATATGATAAGAGCAATTGCTATCCTGAAAAGTACCTAACCCAAATAGAAACTCAAAGATAAAAGCATAGATTGTCTTTATTTGAAAACACTTGTATCCACTGACCTGCATGGCAGCTGTGAACTGGGCCTCGTTCTCCATGGTGTCCTCAGTGGCTCCTCTTTGGACACTGGTTAAGACTGACGTTTTAAAGAAGTACCTCCAGTTTTGGTGAAGTATTTGGTATAGTAACTCAAACATCTCTGCCTTGACATCTGGGGAAGAGCGCTATCAAAGACAAGGGGAATGAAAGACCATCTGTTATGCAGGAAATGTGATGAATGCCCAAAACAAGAGGATTATCACCTCTCATGCTATCATTGAAGTACCTGACATGACTTCCTTCCGAATACGCAGATACCGCAGGTCTTTCCTTCCTGCAGCGGTCAGACTATACAACCAGCACAACTAGTTGACGACCCCCCCCCCATACACACCGACACAGACCACAGACTATATCACCCCTTGCTGCTAAATACCAACAAACTATGTGCAATATATAAATGCCATTAATAACTGTGTAGTATATACCTGGCTGCAAAATCCTTAGAACTGTTACAAGGTGTGTATTTTGTAAACTGTGTAACTTGCTGCTGTTAAATACCAACCACCTATGTGCAATATGTGCTAGATGTGCAATATATATAGATGCCATTAATAACTGTGTAATATATACCTGGCTGCTCAATCCTAAGAACTGTTACAAGATGTGTATTTTTTTT